TCATAATGGTCTGATTTTTGGGCCCTGAAATGAAAGAACCGAAAACAATCCTCCCAGTATCGGGAGGCTTACAATAAATGCATTGGGGGCCCCAATGAAAGCTGGCACATGAAACAGGACAAGGTTTCCCCTAAATGCACACGTCTAGTTCTGATAGATATTGAGGGAAAAACCATAGGAACCAATTTAATAAACACTTTTGTGTCAAGAACTGAATTAAAGACTGAATGGGATTTCCAGCTGTGCTAATTTTCCCTATCTGAGATAAATGCATAAATAAGGATATAAGGGAAAATGTTTTCCCTGGAAATGTGAGGGAAAAAGGACGCTGTAGTTTAGGTCATCCTGGTTAGACTATTAGGTAAACGTCAGTTTGGGTGATACTGTAGAGTCACTTTCATTTTGCTAACCTGCCTTACAGAGTTATTATTGGGTTGTTGTAGGTTTTTTTGGGCTGTATGGCCATGTTCTAGTGTCATTCTCTCCTGACGTTTTGCCTCGAGGATGCTTGTCATAGATGCAGGCGAAACGTCAGGAGAGAATGCCTCTAGAACATGGCCATATAGCCCGAAAAAACCTACAAGAACCTAGTGATTCCAGCCATGAAAGCCTTCGACAATACCAGAGTTCCTATGTTGCTTTGTATAAAGTGATTCATGAGATACGGAGTCTAGATCACTGCTTCTTAAACTGTGGGTCCTGACCTCAAATGGGGTTTCCTTAGCTCAGTGTTGGGATCACGAAAAATTTGGCAACAGTAAAAGGTTTCTGAATGCCATCTAGACATTTACATGAATCTGTTAGCAATAATGTGCAGCATTTACAATGGACTCTGTAGAAATTGCTTCAGCTGTACTTCATAATAAGGAAAATCTGTCTGATTAGCAAGTTTTGCAAATGCTGATATATTAAAAGTAAATGTTTGATTTTTATACCAATTTTATATGCCTGGTGTCATGTAGACATTTCTTGGTAGAAACGAGGTTGCAAAAAAAAAAAAGAGTAATGGGTTAAAAGGAGGCATGAGTGGAAAAGCAGCCCTGGCCTATGCACTCAAGCCTTTTTCGTCTTTCTAATCTGTTAAAATAACATCCTACTTCTGCAATAAGTTAGTCTATTTGTCTGATAAAGTGGAATCCATGATTTCAGCAGACCTGAAAGACAGCTTTTATGGGCTCTTGTAACCAAATATAGGCCAAGATCTTTTTGCATGTCACCTTTCCTATCCTAAGATAGATTTTTCCTAAGACTTTTTTAACCTTTCAAGAGCATCCTGAAGAAGTACCTCATCTCTACCTCTAGCTCATGTTGCACTAGTCCTGCTGCATGCTGCTTAATATAGATGCCAAATATTCCTATAATTATGAAGATAAAATAGGTGATTAACAAACCTTGTATGTTGTCCTTCTGTGGTCCTTGGAGAAAGGATGAGAAAGTATAACAAATCAAATTATCATCACTATCAGCAGCAGTAATAATCATTTTAGGTGTTTGTAAATCACACAAAATTTTCCTGTGTTCACATTCATTTGAGACTTGCTCATGACATATATGACTCCTTCTAAACTGCCATATAAAATCCAGATTATCCGCTTTGAACTGGATTATATGGCAGTGTAGACTCATATAATTGAGTGTGAATTATCTGTTTTGATAATCTGGATTATATGGCAATGTAGAAGGGGTCTTAATTAAATAGTGAATGGGCTTTGTGGCAGTTGTTAAAATATAAAGCTTGCAAAGAAGTCCTTTTCAAGTGTTGCATTGGGAATGTTCCATTTGCCCATGTTATTACTTTTTGAAAGAACTGTTTCCATATTTTCGTAAGTATTCCTTACTTTTAGGTACTCTATACTCTAGCATGGAATGAGTTAAAAAGAATGTTATTTAAGTCTGTTGAAAAAGCTAAGTTATTGCACTTAGGAAAGCTTGGACAGCACTGTCTCTGGCAGGTGCTTATTCGGCATAGTTAGTACTTTTAATTGTGAAGATATTTTGCTTACAGGGAAAAAAATCAGAGTGCAAATGTTACTGACCATATACAAAAACAGTAGTTACATGTCAGCATGCCCTTTTCCACATCAGCTCTTTCTCCTATTAAATGTATTATTAAATGCAATTTGTAGAGAAACAGCTTGAGGTATCTAGTTAATCCCTCTCCGCACTTGCCCAGTATCAGTTGTTGAGCAGAGAATGTTTGCATGTTGGGAGAGGCAGAGGTGAAGAACGTTACCTCTGAATTCTTTGTGGGGTGCTGGTGGAATAAGATGAGAAGACAATAATCTAAATTAGTAACATATAGCTGAGGAAGTCTGGTAGTTGTAGTCACAAAATAACTTTTCCAAGCTCTGATCTAGAGATATGATTTATTTCTAATGTAATTTCTCAATAGAATTTAGGTCAATTTAGGTGCAGTTCTCTACACACTCACACACTGCAATTGAACTCCATGAGACACATTATTATTATTATTATTATTATTATTAACAACAACAACAACAACAACAACAACTTTATTTTTGAATCCTGCCCTGAGTCCCTTTGGGGAAATGGAGGCGGGGTTCAAAAATAAAGTTATTATTATTACAGTGTTTAAAGAGCATTGGAGATAAAAGTGCACTTCTTGGTATGCCATATAACATCTCCTTCTTTGAGAAGCAGCTATCCCTAACCACTAGGGCTGGGCGGTTTCGTTTCGTTAATTCGTAATTCGTTAATAATTCGTTAATTTTTTCAATTACAAAACGATAACGAACCATTCTGGAGCAATTATTAAAAAAACGAATTTTCAAAAACGTTTTGTAAATGCTTCGTATTTCGATATTGTTTTGAGGTCGTTTCGTTATTATTTCCGCATGTCTGGGCCAGTTTTATGGTTTAATTAGTGGAAAAAAATTATAATATCACACCAACAGTCAACAACAGAGGGAGAGGGAAGCTTCAGAAGGTTTTGGAGGTTTTTTAGCGTATTTCGCGGTCACGTCCGCCATTAACGAATCGATTCGTTATTGTTTCGGAAATCAATTTGTTAATTTTTTACCATTTACGAAATTTCGTAAATATCGAACTTTTTAAAAGGAAAATTTTGTAATTATTTTAAATATCGAAACAAAAAAAAACCCCAAATACTAATCGATTTTAGAAACAAAGTTTTCCGTTGTTACCCAGGCCTACTAACCACCTCCATCTGGAATTTTCTGAAGAGATAGGTTGGGATTACTGAACTATAGTGCCTCTGAATCCCAAACCCTTCAGGCATTGCAGAAGGATACCATGGTTGATGGAATCAAATGCTGTTGAGGAGCTTAAAAGCACCAGTGGGAACTCACTACCCAGAATGATGCTCAATGAAAGATCATTCAAGGTAGCCATTGTGATCTGAACTCTGTATCCTGCTCTGAAGTCACTTTGGAGTTAGGCTGGGAAATATGTATCATCCAAGATTACCCAGAGTTGGAAAAAAAAACTCTGTCTTCCCAATCACCTTGCCCCCCCCCCCCCAAAAGGAAGATTTTAAACTGGGAGTCCAAAGAGAGCCCTTTTTTTGCACCATGGCTTCCTTTAAACAAGGTGAAAAACTTCCTTCCTTGGGAGATATGTTTTTTTAAAAGAAATTTTATTAAATTTTTATATAGAATACAACGAAAGAGTGAGAACAATAAGGTATAGAAAAGTGAAGAAAAAAAAGAGAAAGGGAAAGGCCAGTAAAGTAAAAAGGACATCCTAAATAAACCCTAAAAAATAAAAGCATAAAAATTTTAAAAAAGATTTTTTTAAAAATATATAAACTACAAAAATACATCCACACACACACACACACACACACACACACACACGCACACAAACTTCCTTGGGAGATATGTTAATAATATATTGTAATTAAGATCTGATTGAATCTCTTCCTAGCATAGCCAACCAAGAAAGACAGGGATCAAGAGAACAAATTGTCTTCCTTACTTATTTTATTTTATTTATTTATTTCGGGCACTTCTACCCCGCCCTTCTCAACCCTCTAGGGGGGACTCAGGGCGGCTTACAACCGGCACAATTCAATGCCAACAATTCAACAGATAAAATACATAACAGCAATAACCACAGTAGTTAAAACATTCAATTAATACAATAACAACTAAAAGCCAATCTAGTGGCCAACGTTCACCGAGTTCTAAAATCCATAAGTCCATTCAGCATTACCATAGTCCTTTCCAAATTCTGGTCGTCATTACCTTGTCAGTCTGCCAGATTACCCAAAAGCCTGGTCCCATATCCATGTTTTCAGCTTCCTTCTGAAGGAGAGGAGGGATGTTGATGACCTAATTTCCCCGGGGAGTGAATTCCACAGGCGAGGGGCCACCACTGAGAAGGCCCTGTCCCTCGTCCCAACCAGCCTCACTTGTGATAGAGGCAGGGCTGAGAGCAGGGCCTCCCCAGAAGATCTTAAACTCCGAAGTGGGACATAGAAGGAGATACGTTCGGACAGGTACGCTGGGCCGGAACCGTATACATGTTGTCCAAATCGGTGGTACTCACCAATTAATACTGATCCAGTGTAATCCGACTCACTGAGTGGCTGGACACACCACTGTCAACTTCTGCTGTTAGGACAGTGTCTAAATCAGTTCATATCTGGGAGATTTTTTCTGTAAAACTTACTTCGTAATAGACACATAAAGAACTGCAATATTATCGTATTAAGAAAATGTATGTGTGTGTACCTTTACCATATGTGTGAGAGTGCATATGTGTGTGTAATTCTGCCCTTTTCTTTCCCCTTGCTGAGGCCTCAATCTAAGTTAAATATTGTGCATTCTGAAATCTCATCAACTGCATCCTTCACATTCTTACACAAATCTGAGCATCTTTTTGAAGTTGTCGATACAAAGCACAGTACAAATCACAACTGATTTATTATAACCTTGTAATTTTCTGATTTATTATAACCTTGTAATTTTAAAGAAGTTATATTTTATTAACAACTAGTTACTGCCTTTCTTTTTCAGCATTGGCTTGAGCCCAACAAGGCTATCTGCAAGCAAATGAAATGTAAGTGTTTAAAATCAATTTCATAATCTGGTGTAATGTTTTTAAATGTCACGACTTCATATATGGCAGTATGTTTCTGACCTTGTCTTACAAAACAGCAGTGGTTCTGCCGCCTTATAGATTGCTTCCTTTTAAATTAAAATTTCAGAATTGCTGAAAGCTCAGCCTTTCATGCCATGATGAAAACTAACAACATTTTCGCTCTACCCTAGTACTCAGTTATCCAGTCTCTGGCATGTGATACTTACAGACTCATCCTGAATTAAATAAATTGGATATAAATTATATGAGGATTAATTCCTGGCATATGTTTTTTGTAGCTGGTTAAAAACACAATTTCACAGACCCTCAGGTTTTATCTGGCACTCATATGAGATACTCATCATATTATATAAGGAATGTTATTTTACTTCACATTTTACTCAATGCAATGGGAGTTGAGCTTCCATTGCTTTTGGTACCCACAAGGTCCCTAGTGCATATCAGAGGGCTCACTATTACTGAAAGCAGAACTTTTATTATATCTTGGCAGGTACCAAGATCTTATGGCAGTGAACAATTCATAAACCCACACATCCATATTTGCTTTCTCACTTCTTGTTGTCTGTTTTCATCTGAGACTAAAGAGTTCTGAAACAAGTGCTTTTCTATTTGTTTGTCATACTATATAAACTGATATTGTTAATTCATTGTGTTTGTTCATTGTTTCCAGATATGTTTTCTCGACATTCTTCATTGTCATGTGGGCTCTGTACAGAGCTCTTCTAAAACGAGTGATTACTGTTCAAATGATCCTTTAAGCAGGGCATCCTTCTAAAGCTATCTCATAATTTTTCTGCCCCTCATTCGAGGAGCACAGATAGGAAAGTGCATTGATGTGGGAAGGTGAGCATGCATGGAAGTCCATTTGTTTACTTGAGAAATTTGTGTCGGAAGTCTCACTTAGCTCTTAACAACATTGTTTTGAAATATATCTTTAAATGTGAAGTGGGGAAGTAAAATTCATTCTGATTTTGTTCTGAATCACCTTTTTGTATTTGGTGGTATGTCTATTGGATATATAGGGAGACCAGCCTTATAGCGTGATGTACCCTTGCGTGCTGGATTCTCTGTAGTTGACAGTTTGTATATGACTCAGAGGGAGCTTTTGCCTCTGCTGTTCCTTTCTCCCCTGAATACTGTTGTGCATAAGCCAGGGAGTTATTAGCATCCCTTTAAAGATGCTGAATTGAGTGCAAAGCATGGTGTGTAAAATCCTTTTAAACGATTATGATGATGAATCCAGTTTAGTAAAAAGAATTGTGCCCCAGATGACAGGAAAGCTTGACAAAGCCTTGGGCCCTTTGATATACCAGCTGGGTCTTGTCTGGCAGATAAAAGGCCATTCTGAAAGGGAAGACTCATGCCTACAATAAACTTGATTATTCATGCCCCCGTTTGTATGCAAACACTTTTATAAATAGGACATTTTCTCATCCTCCTGCTACACGTTTCACTTTCAGTTCTTTGAGTGAGTGCTAGACAGTTGCATGGTATGTAAGTATGTAGTTAATGGACCCAATGATGCCCCCCACCCAATGAGCCATTAATATAAATATCCATTTCATCATTTGATACTGACCTGCACACACACACACTCATATATATCTTCACCCTGACCTTTTTTTTTTGGAAAGACATAGTGTCACAAGAAAGATTAGAAGATGATATCCAGTGCTGCTTATCTCTAGCACAGAAGTAGTTTATAGACATCTGGAACTCAGCAGAGGACTGCATCCTGTTCTCCACAACATTATGAGATTTTGTATAGAATTTGTATTATATAGGCAGTCTTGAGTTAAAGACATCTGATTTACATACAGCTCCTAGTTACAAATGGGATTTATTTATCGTGTCATCCGCAACCAGAACATTGTATTACATTTCTAACAGAACAAAACAAACAAACAGATAAAAAAAAACAAAACACAAATTTTGCAAACTTGGTAGCTGATTAAATGTCCTTTGACCAGTATCTGGCCACTTGGAGTGACTCTGGTGTTGCCGCAAGAAGGTCCTCCATCGTGCATGTGGCAGGGCTCAGGTTGCATTGCAGCAGGTGGTCAGTGGTTTGCTCTTCTCCACACTCGCATGTCGTGGATTCAACTTTGTAGCCCCATTTCTTAAGACTGGCTCTGCATCTCGTGGTGCCAGAGCGCAGTCTGTTCAGCGCCTTCCAAGTCACCCAGTTTCTGTGTGCCCAGGGGGGAGTCTCTCATTTGGTATCACCCACGGATTGAGGTGCTGGGTTTGAGCCTGCCACTTTTGGACTCTCGCTTGCTGAGGTGTTCCAGCGAGTGTCTCTGTAGATCTAAGAAAACTATTTCTTGATTTAAGTCGTTGACGTGCTGGCTGATAATCAAACAAGGAGAAAGAAGAAATCTACCCCTAGGAAAAGAACTTCACTCCTGTAAGAGTTATCATGGGAAAAAGGTGTCTCCACTGAAGCTATATCAACAATCTTTGTTTCCACAACTATCCAATTTGTTTCAAAACCCAATTGTCATAAGGACAGAAAGTGAGATGAATTCTTCTGAACAGCAGCAAAAGAAATATTACAGGGGCGTTAACCCTTATCTATGCTATCCAAAACTCACTCTATCTATCTATCTATCTATCTATCTATCTATCTATCCATCCATCTATCTAATCTTGCTGGAGTTACATTTAAAACATGTAGCTGTTCTGACTTACATGCAGATTCAATTTAAGGACAAGCCTGCCAAACCTATCTTGCTCATAACCCAGTGACTGCCTGCCTATAAATGGTTGAGATGGCTATTATAAGCCTGGTAGTAAAATTTTCAGACTGAAATATACTGTTAAATATGTTTTCATTCTTTTTCTTTTGGCTTTGCCCATCATTGAGGTGCAGCTCATGAAATGTAGTTCCTCTATTTCAATAATAATAATATTATTATTATTAATAACTTTATTCTTATATCCCACCACCATCTTCCTGAAGGGACTTGGGGTGGCTTACAGAATGGCACAAAGTGCCTGAAAAGAGACATAAAATGAAGGGCAATATAAAATACAATACAATGAAGCACATACACACATAAAAACATCCATTCAGGCTCAGTAAAACTAAGGGCATCAGCTAGAGGCGGTAAGCTGCTGTAAACATGGCCAAGCTGTAAACAATAGGAATGGTATATGTGCAAGTTGCAACAATGGAGACAGGGCATAGGATGTACAACTACTGTGCAGAACAAGTAGAGACTAGGCCAGACATGGGCAAACTTCGGCCCTCCTTGTGTTTTGGACTTCAACTCCTACAATTCCTAACAGCCAGTAGACTGTTAGGAATTGTGGGAGTTGAAGTCCAAAACACTTCAAGGGCTGAAGTTTGCCCATGTCTGGACTAAGCATTCTCAAAGGCCTGTTTGAAAAGTCTTTTGCTGACATTAAAGCAGCCAGCTTGCAGCTAATATGCCGAAGCTATGTGTTACTATAAGTTGTGAAATAGTTCTAACTTAAAACTTCAATATATCTGAAAAAATGACAATTTCTTAAATATTTTGTTTGTTCTTTTATGTAGCCGGTGTATTCTGTATCCTTTATTGTTCAGCCCTAATGTCAAAATTCTCAGAGCTTTTCTCCTGCAAAATGTATTTTGCATAATAATGAAGTAGATGAATTGAGCTTTCAGTTTCTGTTCAGTGTGCTACTGTTCAATACTCACATCTAAATTTCTTATAGTATTGTTTGAAAAATACTACTGTATTATGCTCAGTGGAACAAAAATGAATTTGAAGATGGCAGAACAATTCAAATGGAGTCATATTAGTGGCTGGCAGGTTGCATAGTGTGAGTTGAAGAAAAAAGTATAAGTACAGAAAAGAAAAAGGAAACAGATCCTCACTTGCTGTAAATAAGAAGTCAAGTCTTTGATTTTGATTTGCCCTGTGCATGAGACATGATGATTTGCTGGAGCCGTGCTACAAATGGTCTCCTTTGTTTTGTTATTCCCTGCATAGTTGAAGTGGATGTCTCCATCATTATCTCCCGGTGATAGAAAAGAAAGGAAAAAAGATACTAGCAAGCATAAATTGAATTTGTTTTGAAGACCAGGCATAAGAAGAGAAATTAAAACATGTTGTTGGTCATCAATTCTTACTATCACACACCTGGCTTTATTGTTTGGAAGTTGCAGTCCACCAACATCTGGAGCATCGTTTCTCAACCGGGGTGTCGGGATCCTTGGGGGGGGGGTGTCGTGAGGGGTGTCAGAGGGGTCACTAAAGACCAACAGAAAACACAGTATTTTCTGTTGGTCATGGGGGTTCTATGTGGGAAGTTTGGCCCAATTCTATCATTGGTGGGGTTCAGAATGTTCTTTGATTGTAGGTGAACTTGAACTATAAATCCCAGCAACTACAACTCCCAAATGTCAAGGTCTATTTTCCCCAAACGCCACCAGTGTTCACATTTGGGCATATTGAGTATCCATGCCAAGTTTGATCCAGATCCATCATTGTTTGAGTCCACAGTATTCTCTGGATGTAGGTGAACTACAACTCCAAAACTCAAGGTAAATGCCCACCAAACGGTTCAAGTATTTTCCGTTGGTCATGGGAGTTCTGTGCCAAGTTTGGGTCAATTCCATCACTGGTGGAGTTCAGAATGCTCTTTGATTGTAGGTAACTATAAATCCCAGCAACTACAACTCCCAAATGACAAAATCAATCCCCCCCAACCCCACCAGTATTCAAATTTGGGCAAATTGGGTATTTGTGCCAAATTTGGTCCAGTGAATGAAAATACATCCTTCATATCAGATATTTACATTACGATTGATAACAGTAGCAAAATGAGTTATGAAGTAGCAACAAAACAATTTTATGATTTCACAACATGAGAAACTGTATTAAGAAGTCACGGCATTAGGAAGTTTGAGAACCACTGATCTGGAGGCACACACTTTTTTCACTGCCTGCTTTTCTTCTTAGGGATAGTTCATTTCTTAGATAGAAAATAACTTCCAAGATATTATGCCTTCTTTGAAAAGGTCAAGGAAGAATTTGTCTGTAACTTTAGGATATTATTGCTTCACAGGTTTGCAAGCATCCACCTGTGCAGTTGTAAGATCCTCTACCAGGTTACCTATGAGATAGTCTTCATGAGTAAATGCTTCAGGCACACTTGCTCTGCCAAACATGTCACTGTTTTATCTCAGGGACTGTTGTTACTATTTTACAAGCTAGTGTTACTTGATCTTGCATGCTCTTTTTTGATTAGCTATAATCAACAAGGGAGTTAACTGAGTATTTTCTGCAAACTGAATCCCTTCACCCAACACTTGTCTTTAACTCTGCATATTAATGGCATCGATAAGAAAATTAAATGTAAAGAACAAGATGCAAAAATCATATGATGGAATGAAGAGACAAGAATTAAAGTTCAAGTTGAAGAGATAGACATATAAGGAAAATATATTCCCCATTGTTAAAGAGTGTATAGAGTAGAAATAGCAAAAACTGCAGGTCGATCCTGAGCCAAAAATGTGTTTCTGCATACATGTACTATGACCATATGTTAAATATAAATAAAGCTGCTAGCACAAGATGTTCAGCAGAATATAATCTGATGTAATTACATAGGGCATGAAGGAGGAGTATTATGTATTAAAATCCTTCGATTATCCCAAAACCAGTGGGTTGGTTGAATGGGCCAGTTATATACCGGTTCTTGTTTCTATTGTGTGAGAAGGGGAAGTGATTTTATTCCGACTGATAGCTGTAAACATAGTAGCAGCTCAGTCATGATGAGTCAAATAATTCAATGTAACAGTGTAAAATGTAGTTGAGATACTGTTTCACCAATGTTTTGTTGCACAATAATTCAGATAACTGGTAGCAGAACTGTTATGTCTCCACACATACAGTAATGCAGATATGAAAGTGTGTGTGTTTGTGTGCATATTCATGCATATGTGTATTCTCTAATTTCCTTAATCAACTCCAAGACCTGGCCCCTGAAAGGCTTATCCCTTTCTTGTATATAGAAAGGAAACTCCTAAGTCAGTATTGATATTGCACAGGTTTATTTAACATCCTGGAAACTAGCAAAACATTTGGTGCTTCTCTAGTATGTACCCTAGGCCATCCATTTTTGCTGGATCCATAGAGACAGGACCCCCACTAAGAATATGCCCCCTAATGTTACTCTCTGGGGTTACTTAGGCATTTCTAGACAAACCTAGAGAGAAAATATTAAGCAGATCCCTAGATAACCTAATCTCAAAAACTTAAACTTCCATATGTGGAAAGCCAGCTGTATACAAGCTCTGATTTTAATAATTACCTGTTAAAGTAATGAAAGGAGGAGGGAGCTTCTAGAACACACAGGTCAAATGCAAGGCCTGTGAGTTCACCACACACATTTTATGTTGCCTGTTAGACTTTCAATTTCAGGTCAACATGGCTACATTTATACAGTCTTGCAATTGTAACTGACCCTTTGAAGGCAACCATAAGGCTGATTTGGCCCTTGATGAAAATGAGTTTGACATCCCTGTTCTAGGAGGGACGCTTAACTAGAAACAAAATTGTAAAAGAACAAATATAGGCAGAGGGCAAAAAAATAAATTACTAAATAATGATACATTAAGCTCCTTGTAGGGCCTTTAGTAAGTCACCAGATCCTATCTGATGTTAGAAATTAAGCAGGGTCAGTCCTGGTTAGTACTTAGATAGGAGATAACCTATGAGCATCAAGTGCTGTGGCTATATTCAAGAGTAAGGAGGCAGCAAAACACTTCTGTGTGTTCCTTGCCTAAGAAAACCCTATGAAATCCATGGTGTTGCTATAAGTCAACAAGTGACTTGAAGGTAGATATAATCCCTCCAGCTCCTTGTAAAATCAAGACATTCTTCATTGGGGAAGAATATTTTTGAAGGCACTCTATATGATTCCAATGCCCCTGTAATGTAGGAGATGCAGAGAAAAACACAATGTGGGATTCAGTGCTGTTTTAGTGTGTACATATGTTCACAGATTTCTGGTCAATACAGAGGTACAATTGTATGTGATATCTAACATATGTATGCAATCAGTGTTCACTGTGCACAACATAAGCCAGACGTTGACCATAGAACCACACAGGAGAATCTAGAGATCTCCAGAGAAGTGTTCTTTCTAGGAATCTCTGGGTCCAGCATGGTCAAAGTCCACTAGAAATTTGTAATCAAATTGGCAAAATTTGAACCTGCAAATCTAGAGGGCCGATGGAATTGCATTATGCAATATAATTACATAATTACTATTAACATACTGTGTCTGGTGAAATGAACAGAAATCTCGTTGTGTCTGTGCCTTTCAGAGATGATGTTTACTGTGAAGACAGAGGTGTTTAAAATACACAAGAATGTCTGAATTTCATTTGTTAGGTGTTGATGGCTATGCTGAGATGTTGACACATTCCAGACAATATAGTCTGAAGGCGATATGCCCATGGCATATTACTAGTCCTGGGGTGGTGATAACATTAATCTACCCACTTTTCTCCTCACACTTTGTCAGTTGTAGTGATGTGCTTTACAACTAAACTATAATCACCTTGGACAGATAGTGATTTTTCACTGACGACTAAGATCTGGCTTTCAAAACTATTGCAATTCATAGGCATCTTTCTATACATTTTAATTGAGTTAGGGTTTGATTTAAGATCAATAAACATATTCAAAAACCTAGATATTCTTGGCCAAAGGAAACAAGCTGCCATATTCCTATATTTAATGACCTATATTTAGAAAGACAGATAAAAATTCATACTGCAGTGTAAAATGTGTAGAATTCCTTTTCTTACGTCAATCACTTATTTCCCCTTGCTCTGTGTTTACTGCTTGATTTTTTTCTCTCTGCTTCTTTTCTTTGTATTATTTTTCTTCACTCCACTATTCCTCTCAGACATGTGTTTTACTATTTGTCTGTTATTCTCCTTTATGACTTGGTATTGCATCTGAAGGTGTGAGTTTATTTCATGTGAAAGTAAAAACTGGTTATTTCTAAACATCTCCATCGTAACTAAAAGCCATGTTTTCAAAATATAAAGCTGAGAATTTTGCAAAATACAGCCCAAACACTTTAAAAAATAATTCCATGTAATGGTTGTGTTTGACTGATCCACATTATTCATATTCTTCATTGTTTGATGGAAATGCCCACAATTCTCACATATTTATTTATTTACCCTATTTATACCTCGCCTTTATCTACCCCAAGGGGGACTCAAGGTAGCTTATATACGGCAATTATTCAATTATTCTATTTAGGTAGACCAGGCTGTGTCTATACTGCTTATAAATCCAGGGCCAATCCAGAGCAAATGTTATCTGGACTTGCCCCAGAAGTGATCACACGCACCGAAACCTCCATGGCAGTGGGTTGAAGTTTATATGATCCCGCCAGGTTGACATGACATTGCATCCGCTGGACTGTTACTTCATCTTCCGTGTCACTGTCGCTGCTCCTAGATGGCTGCAGAGACACCATGCAACTAGGAAGAAGGAGAGGACTGATCTTCCACCTCTACAGCCCACAGGAAGCAGTACATGGGCACAATCTGCCCTATTTTCCCATCTCTGATGAGCCCAGGGAAACAGTGATAGTGGTGCCCCATGTGGACATTGGTCCAGTCCAAATCAGATCCGATCCAGCTGTTCACACTACCCTGAAGCTGTGGGATGCTCCAGAGCTTCAAGCAAACTCCAGAGGATCCCACCAAGTTGTATGTAGTGGGCCAAAACTGGATTAACTCAGGCCCAGTCTACACTGTCATACACTTGAGTTTCAGAATGCAGATTAACTGCACTGAACTGGATTATGTGGTAGTGTAGACTCATATAATCCAGTTCAGTGGTTCAAAGTGCATTATATGGTAGGTTATATGTAACCTCACTTTAATCAATGATACTCATTGGAAATTGAGGAATGTTATGAAGATTGCCAGGAATCAATTCAGGATGAGTCCAAGTTTTAATGCCCATATAGACAAATCCGTAATCTCCATCCAGTAGAACTCTTTGTAGTCTCATGAAATCCATATGTCTCATGAGATTTTGCCGCCCTCTTGTGGCTTGAATTCATGCAACAGCCAACCATGGGACATCACTCTTTCCACAACTTCGTTCGTTTCATTAGGGGTATTGATAAAACTGCTCACAGCACAACTATGGATAGCAAGCACAATATGAATGCATGTAACCCACACATGCAAAACAAGCAACCATGTCCCCATGAGAAAAGTCTGGATGCTCTCCATTGTGCCTGATAGATAATTGGGTCTGCAGCTGCATGGGGAAGCAGCTAAGAAGCCAAACAATGTCAAGCACTCCTGTAGCTTATTCCAGAGCAGAGACATTGATCTCACTAGACTGTCCTTGTCCTGCCTATACACATATTTACTTCCTGGTAGAGGATGTGGAGCCTAATTAATAATGCATTTACAAATATTGCACATTGACCACTTCATTTTAACCACTCAAACCATCCCATGTGACAGGTTTGTAGATAATATGTCTTTTTAGCTATTTACTTAGAAATGAGTACTACAGTATTCTATGGGGGTTACTCCCATGAATGTGTGCATTGCATTTCAGAATAACATAATACAAGTATCTAGTTTAGATTGGCTGTATTCCACTTATGCTTTGTACTTCCTTGTCATGCATTATACCTGCTTTTTACTTACCTTTTTGATCTTAATTTGGTGCACTCATAATCTGTTGGGGTGGGATGTTGGGAAAGTTTCCTACAGTGCCAAATAAGTCATGTTTTATATAGTTGTTCTCATGATTTTTCTTTGTAATGTTTTAGCTCATCCACCATATACCATGTGCTTTAGAGTGAAATTCTACCCACACGAACCAATGAAGATTAAAGAAGAGCTCACCAGGTATATTTTCCCTGTCTCTTCATTTAGTTGATGATTTCAGATCCTAGCTGTGTCATTATACTAATCATTTGCTGTTTTTCTTACTTTGATATAGCACACATTTTTCTAGAATTTTTTTGGAGCTTAAGGGAGAGCATAGAGCAGTGGTTCCCAAACTTTTTTTTGACCAGGGAACACTTGACCAGGGAACACTTTGACCAAGGACCACTCTCCAACATTAGTACCAAAAGGGTTACGAATCAATTTTTGGTCAACTTTAGGTTTGGTTTGGTTATTTAGGGTGCTGATTCAGAACACTGGATAGACTACATCAGCTCTAGTTTCTGATACAGAACATATTCCATCCAGTAGTCACCATCTGCTCTCCCACAAAAAAAAGTATTTAATAATCTAAAGCTGATGCGGTAGTAGTAATCTTTCATGGGTAGTCAGCCTCTCCCCTCCCAACATCCCTGTTGCCTCAGCACTATAAGAGGGTTTTGCGAGACCAGTCACTCTCATTACCGTGTGGTTTTGAGGCAACAGTGTAGTCATGGTGAGGCCACAGACCATATTTTTATTCTTGTGGACCACTGGTAGTCCATGGACCACAGGTTGGGAACCACTGGATAGAGGTATCTATATTAAGCATCACAAGGTGAGGCACTGTTGTGCTACATGCCTGGGTTACTTTCTGTCTTTTCTAACCCAAATCAAGTTTTAGGTGGCTTAATATGCCTGCTCGGGTATGTGTCCCATTGTGAACAATTGGCCTCCTGCATAGAATTCAACTGTACTCTGGGTTAATTTGATTAAGACTGCACTATGTAGTTAAATGATGAATCAAAATGAATCTTTGGTATTGGCTGAGAATGGGCTGGAGAAAAAGAAAGGAATACATCTCTCCTTTGTGTATGCAAACCAAGGCACCCAAATTCTGCTGCAGGCTTGGCAATAACTGGCGTGCCAAATCCCTGCTTTTAATTAATTACTTATTTTTTTCCACCAAAACTTTAATATTTGTCCATGATGATTAAGGCATGGATATCAACTACAAATAAAGGTAATCACAATAAAATAACAAAACTGTTGTCATAAAAATACACAAACAAACAGGAACCACCAATTGTTAAAGTATGTATTATTCATTTAATAATTTGTGTGCTGCCTTTCAGAGCAAACTCTTCCAAGAAAGCTCTCATCAAAACAAAATAAACATGGTGCCATCACGAACAAGACATCCTTTCGTAGTCCATGATGCTACGAGTCTTGGATTTCCTTGTTACATAAAATTCCCCTCCATGTTTAGTTAGAAAAATTTCAATTGAGGTTGGGAGGAGAGGAAGTAAGATTTACATTAGAGTTTTTTAATACATTCTACATTTACAGTATCATTTGAGAAAAAGCAGAGAGCCAATTTTTTCTTATGCTAGTAATAATTTTTCCATTTTAAATCCAAATTGAATGATATTTCATTCACATTCTCAGAATATATTTTTGGAAGATTCATAACGTTTAGATGAATATCCCTATTTGCCAGGCCATAACATCGTATTGGTGTCTAGTAAATTTTCCATTGCTTTCAAAGGAGATTAACCCCTTTTTAAAACTTCTTCACAAAATTGCTGTGAAAAATTCTGCACAGAATTGCTGATGGTATTTAAAATTTTAAAAGAACCACACAAAAGTTTAGAGAGGAAGATGGGAAAGTAATGCATTTTAAATATCTGTAAACTTGAAATCCTAAGTCAGAGTTTCAGTAGGTCACTTTGTCTATCATCCTTTGAACTGTCCTTTGGCCTAAATCCAGTTAATACTCCTAACTAGAGTAATCCAATTAAATCATTGATCAAATGAGAGGCCAATAATTATATAAGCCATTTTAACCAGTAGATCCTGTCTAGTTAAGCTAGTAACTGGGCCCTTAATACAATATTATAATTATAATTATATATTTACATTACATGTAATATTACTAATAATATTACAATATAATGGTATAGTGCAATATAGTAATATATAATACTGATATTATATAATACTGATATTATGTTGGAGGAAAGTTCTGAGAGTGCCTTGGACTGCGAGAAGATCCAACCAGTTCATCCTCCAGGAAATAAAGCCGGACTGCTCATTGGAGGGAAGGATACTAGAGACAAAGTTGAAGTACTTTGGCCACATCATGAGGAGACAGCAAAGCCTAGAGAAGACAATTATGCTGGGGAAAGTGGAAGGCAAAAGGAAGAGGGGCCGACCAAGGGCAAGATGGATGGATGGCATCCTTGAAGTGACTGGACTGACCTTGAAGGAGCTGGGGGTGGTGACGGCCGACAGGGAGCTCTGGCGTGGGCTGGTCCATGAGGTCACGAAGAGTCGGAGACGACTGAACGAATGAACAACAACAATACTGATATTGTACTATGCTAATAATATAATATATTGTATGAAAATATATATTGTGAGCCGCTCTGAGTCTCCTTCAGGGTGAGAAGGGCGGCATATAAATGCTGTAAATAAATAAATAAATTTAAACTAACTGAAACAGTTATTTCTGTATTAGTTTTGTCTGAGGTTAGCTAAACATGCTGCTCCTTAATGTACTAGCCCATTTATTTATTTTCAGCATTTATATCTCACCCTTCTCACCCCGAAGGGGACCCAGGGCGGCTCACAACAAAGGCACAATTTGATGCCATGAATACACATATTGGATAAAACAACATATATTTTAAAATCACATAATTAAAACATATCAAACTTAAAGTTAAAGGTAAAAGTTCCCCTGGCATTAAGTCCAGTTGTGTCTGACTTTGGAGGTGGTGCTCATCTCCATTTCTAAGCTGAAGACCCGGCATTGTCCATAGACATCTAAAAAGTAATGTGGCCGGCATGACTGCATGGAGCACCGTTACCTTTCCGCAGAAGCAGTACCTATTGATCTACTTACATTTGCATGTTTTCGAACAGCTAATCTTAAAACAATTACATAAAATCACACCATCCAAAAGCATATTCCAGGGGCCATTCCAGTTGTCACTTGCATGATTCATTATTGTACTGAGAGATCATTATTGCCCTGGGAATCATTGTCCAAAGGCTTGGTCCCACAACCATGTCTTCACTTTCTTACTGAAGGTCAGGAGGGAAGGGGCTGATCTAGTTTCCCTCTTCACAAAGAATTAACTGATACCTTGTGTTTTTCTTGACTTACAGCTGCAAGTATGGGTCCAAATAAGCAAAACCTGTCAATGTGTGGTGCAAACTCTTCTTAAGCATTTTTTCCTGCTAAGGAGTTGGGTCTAAATATACAGATTGAATGAATTGGATTTATATAACTCACTAACCAACACTCCCTTGATTTAACAGGTCTGCTTAAGTGGGGACTCAAAAAAAGATGTAGGCTTTGAGTTGTGGGGAAATGTCTTACCATCGAATATCCTTAAACCTCGCTTGTTACAAATGGGGATGCTTGCTTATTCCTAGCTGTTCAAATGATTTGTAAATGAAAATGTGGCATGTTATTGCTGTTTTAAAGAAATAACTCAGCACTCTCTCTTGAGAGGAAACACTATAAATTATTTTTGTCAAGGGCAATGCTATTTCAAATCATTTCTCCCTGGAGAAGAAATTACTTTGACATCCCCAGAGAGAGGCTCCATCAAAAGCACGTTTGCTTATTTTGACAGCACACTGTGCCTTGCAATTTTCTCTGTTTGCTGACTGTGTCAATTAAGTATTTTCCTGTATGGATCGTAAAGCGCTTTTGCAGAGAACGGAGTCGTATTGTTAGACATCTGGAGAGACAATGATGGCAAAGTTAAAAAAATAAAACGGGGGAGTGAGCACATCACCTAAACTTTTAACACTGGTAGTCAAATGTTAAAACATGTAAGGCATTTCCCTACACTGGCCTCCTGTGTTTAGGGAAACAAACAAGAATGCTAGGCTTGAAATTAGTTATTTTCCACTCATCTTGAAAGTGGTAACAAATCATTATTATAACATGTATTTTTCAACATAAATGCATTTACTTAGCCTTCAAACAATCATCACGGGTAAATGGTTTATATGTTTTTGTAGAATTAAGGGTAGTTAAAAGCATGACTGTTAAAAAGAAACACACACACAGAGTACATTATGAAAGCCATTACTTCCAAAGCAGTCAGTCCTCAAGGTCTTAATTTACCCATGAAGATTCACAACAAAGCTACCAATGTGACTTCTAGGGAGGGAGTTTCAAAGCAGGGAAGCACCTACCAACCAGACCTTCTCCCAGTCTGCATCAGAAGTAATCCTTAATGGGTTGTTGTAGGTCTTTTGGGCTGTATGGCCATGTTCTAGAATCATTATCTCCTGACGTTTCACCTGCATCTAGTGGCGAGCATCCTCTGAGGATCCATAAATGCAGGCAAATCGTCAGGAGAGAATGCTTCTAGAACATGGCCATACAGCCTGAAAAACCTACAACAACCCAGTGATTCCAGCACATGAAAGCCTTTGATAATCCTTAATGGTCTTCTTGGGTGATTTCTAAATATGGACAGACTCATATCAGAGAATAGAGCATTATAGGTTGTAACCAGCACTTTGAATTGCACATAAAAACAGAAAGACATAAGGCATTCAGTTATAAATTATATAAAATAGTTATTTTAATTGTTTTTAAACTGATTAGTTTTGTTACTTTGTAGGCTTAATAGATTTATATGTTTTATTTATTTAAGCTTTGTGTATAGTTGTTATAATTTGTTATAGGTGCTTTATTCATGAGGCTATTTGTTCATTTTGGATTGTTTTATGGCACTCAATGTTTGCCATCTTTTGATAAGGCAGGTTATAAAGTTATGATGATGATGATGATTATTATTATTATTATTATTATTATGTAGTTGTAACAAGGAAGTTGTTATTACCACTGTAGCTGGCCCCATTGAGCAATGTGGTGGCAGCTCTTTGGATTAGCTTTTAAAAAAATTGTGTCAGAAGCAACTTAAGAATATGCTTCAAGTCGCTTCTGGTGTGAGAGAAATTGGCCATCTGCAAGGACGTTGCCCAGGGGATGCCTGGATGTGCTACCATTCTGTGGGAGGCTTTTCTCATGTCCCCACATGGGAAGCTGGGGCTGACAGACAGGAGCTCACCCTGTATCGCAGATTCCAATCACTGGCCTTCAGGTCTTCAGTTCAGCAGTTCAGCCGGCACAAGGGTTTAACTCATTGCACCACCGCAGCTCCACCTTGGATTAGCTGAAGTTTCCAAATGCTTTTCAAAGGAAGTCCTACACAGTAATTCAAATGAGATGCAACTAATCATGTCTCACTGTGGCTAGAGGCAACATTTCTAGGAATGGGCTCACATGGCACTCAGGGCCCATTTACGCTTTCAACCAGCCCTGGTTTCTGCCATGATGTTTTCATTACTCTGCTTCTGAACCATGGATGTGGTGGAAGCTGGGTCTTGACCATCCACTCAGACTGAATCCAGTTTGACAGGCACACATAACCTCTCCAAGTCTCGTGGGCATCTTTGCTGACATCGGCAAAGGTGCACAGCAGTAGGCAGGAATTCCTTAGAGCTCTGTAGCCACTGCTGCAGTGACAAGGAATGACAAAGGTAAGTGCCATCCTTCCCTCTCTATGCCACAGAGCGTGGGGAAATCAGGAGGGCGGCATTTGCATTTCAGCACTGTCTACACTTCTAATTTATATTTCTATTACATTCCATCAGTTCTGAGATGCCATGAATTGTAAGATGCACACTAATTTCAGTACCACCTACAGAAAAAAGGCACCAATAATTCTAAGATACGTTCCCATTTTTAGAGATATTTATATGGGGAAAAACTTTATTTTAGGCTTGAGGAGATAAAAACTTTGTTATCATTCAAAATGATCATAATTCTGGAAGCCTTTGTGTGCTCTCAATCTGAAACAGGCAACATTACAGACTTAGGCCCCATCTACACTGCCACGTAATCCAGATTATCAAAGTAAATAATCTACACCGCTATATAATCTAGTTCAAATCAGATAATCTGGATTTTATATGGCAGTGTAGAAAGGATCTTAATATCATCCCTACCAATCCTTCCCTAAAAACCTTTCTGTATTATCTGATGCATGATCCTTTAAGTCAGCTCTTGAGAACACCTGTTTATGGTGGCAGGACATCTAATGTATTTGTAAAAAAAGAAAGAAAAGAATTGTGCGACAGGTTTTGAGATGGATATGTGAAATGCCTCTCCATGGTATCTTTATCAGCTCAAACCAGAATGCACAGCATTTCTCAGATATACTCTTGAGCTTGTTACTATTCCCAGGGTAGTGCAAACTGATTTACACTGCTAGAAAGTGTTATCAAAAGTTACAGGATTTTTAGACTAGTAGAGTGTCTCAAAGCACTTATATTTCAGACTCTTTTAGCACATTGTCAGTATGGATTAAGGGTTTTTGAATCAGTTCAGTACAATGGAACAAAAATTCTGTCTTGGGAACTACCAATACATAAGTTGTGAATATTTCAAAGGACTTTCATAAACTATGACTAGCCAAAAATAGCTCCAGGAAGATGTCCAAAAAAGGACAGCTACAAATGAAGCCCAAATGAAGCCCAATAAGCTTCGGTATTGGACCTGGGACACTTCCCTTCAAACCAAAAAAGCATTTGGAGCATTTGTAAAACCCTGCTTTTTAAAAAACCGATTGCTCCCAGGTTAAAGGGCTGTGTAGAATTGCCCTAAGTTCTTTTCTTCACTGCCCCTCTGAATTTTAATTTTTCAATACTAGTGTGATCTTCAGAGATCTTCATGAGAATAAAAAGGAAATAGATATAGAAATGTAAATAATTGTTTTTCATACTACATGCAGGTACCTTTTATATCTACAAATCAAAAGAGATATTTTCCATGGCCGTTTGCTGTGCGCGTTTTCAGATGCAGCCTACCTGGGTGCATGCATTGTCCAAGGTAAGCAACATGGCACCTTATTTCAGGGTCTTGGTCAGGAGTATTATATAGTATAAAAAGCCTTTTGAAGGTTTTTGTAAAATCAGTTTGTTTGGATGTACGTGAAGTCAACCAAATCAGTAGGACTTGACTATGTACAGCACAGACATGTCCCACTAATATTAGTTAACTTGGGCTGGATCTACACTGCCATATAATGCAGGTCCAAAAGGCATTATATGGCAGTGCAGACACAACCTTGAATTTGCTCAAACATAATTAGGCATGCAGCTGAAACAGTAGATTATTTCAGCTACATACAATGCATTTTCAAACATTATATGGCAGTGTAGATGGGGCCTACGTGATAACAGCAGCAACAGCAACAGCAGCAGCAGCAGCAGCAACAACAACAACAACAACAACAACAACAACAACAACAACAACAACAACCGTTATTTATATTCTGCTCTATCTCCCCAAGGGGACTCAGAGCAGATTACAGAGTATATATATATGGCAAACATTCAGTGTTGTTATACAATTGACAACAAAGACAGACAGTACATAAACAAAGGCAAGGCTTCCCTCTTTCTTTAATGTCTGGCATCTAGAGGCTGTGCTCGACTCAGCCACGAGGAGGTGCTTTTGCTCCATTTTTCTATGCCGAGGCACCTGTTGTCCATGGACACCTTCCTGATTGAATTACTGGCATGTCTTCAGGGGCGCCTTTTGCCACTTCGCCAAAGCGGTACCTATTTATCTACTCACATTGCTGTTTTTGTACTTCTAGATAAGCAAAAGCTAGGGCTAATGGCGGGAGCTCACCCCGACCTGCAGCTTGAACTGCCAGCATTCTGGTTGGCAAAATCTTCTGTAGCGGATGGTTTAACTTGTTGTGCTAACCACAGCCCTGAGCCAAAAGACTGTATTTCTCATACCAATAACCCTAGAATTCCACATTATGAATTTTAATAAACCCAAAATACAATAAATACAACACAATAATATGATGGAACCTCAATTAAAAATCAATTGATGGTCATACCTATAATGGCCAACTTGGACTGTTTACATATTTATAAACAAGAAAACGCAACTGTTTACTTTTGTACATCTGTGTTTGGGAAGCCAGAGTATAAGAGGTCCAGGAATTTAAAACTACTTTGCTTGATATTGGAAAGCTGTGAACTTTAGTGCCAAGTGACTCTGCAAGGGAGTAGCATTGCAAGGGCACCAGGCCATAATCAAAAAGGCCCTTTCCCCAGTGAACAACTATTTAACCTTTGAAGGCAATGATGCTCAGAACAGGGCTTCACAGATGACCTTAATGTATAGCTGTATTTGGGGGAGGAGGGCACATCAACATTTACAGATAGACACCACGGCATTAAAGATCGATTTGTTTAGAGAATTTTTGAATTACTTCATCCAATAAATCCTCAAGCCAAAGCACAAAGAGGTGAAATAAATCAACAATTAGAAATATGATTCTTTTAGTAACTGTATCTTTCAGTAGCGGTATCTTAACTGATTTTCCTCTTGTCTGTTTGTATTTGCATCTACACAGCTGAGCTTGGTGACTATGATCCTGATGACCACATGGACAATTATGTCAGTGATTTTAGGATTTTCCCCAAGCAATCTCCCAAACTGGAAAGAAAAATAGCAGAAATACACAGAAATGAATTCAGGTAATTTAAATTGCTCTCTCTCTCTCTCTCTCTCTCTCTCTCTATTCCTTGAACTATTATTGCTCAGTTTTTATTTCTTCAGGAGATTATATTGTCCCTTAGGCTTGTATCTTAAACGTATGTAAAATACATATGCCTTTTGTCCAAGAGTCAGAAGTTGAAAGTTGTGTATGATGTATTTTTTAAAAAGTCAACTGGCATTCAAGATACTTCGTTATCTATAACCAACTTATAGAGTCCACTATATGATTGTATGATTCTGCATGACTCATTGCTATGGCCATAATTCCACAGATATTTAGGCCCCTTCCACACAGCTGAATAAAACCCCACATTATCTGTATTGAACTGGAATATATGGCAGTGTGGACTCAGATAACACAGTTCAAAGCAGATTTTATGGGATTTTCTGCTTTGATATTCTTGGATATAGGGCTGTGTGGAAGGGCCCTAAGTGTACTCAACCTCATTGCTCTCAGTGGACTCAAGCACATCTGCTTCTATGCAATTTCTGACCCTTTATATTTTGCACAACTGTTAAATGGGAAAGATATTTTAAAGGTTGTTTTAAATGTATTAATTTTCAGCAGAAATTGACAAATCTTAAATCATGATCTGATTATAATTCTTTTGATTATGTGTGGTAGATTGGAAAACAATCCTTTCCCTCTTATATTGGGCTCTCAAAAGGAGGATACCATAGATATCATTCAGTTGACTTCCATGCAGAAAGACTGTGAGCTCAATTCAGCTCTGGCACTGAAAATAAACCCCAAGGCTCAGAATGGGTTCACGGACACTCAGTTCCTTAATTCAAAATGTGCATCTTTTTGCATTTCAGGGTTGAAGTAAAAAATGTGACAAGCTTGACTTCTAGACACACTCCAGCCTTATGCAAAATCATAAGTACAATAAGATATTCCTTGCTCCTTCCCTTCCCAGAATCCCACAACTTGTGTCTTAGATCAGTTTTATTTAAAGTGATGATTTACAGGATGGTGTCAGTCCATGAGAAGTCAGCTTCTGGCCCACATTGAGTTCCCAGGAAAGAAAGAAACACGTTGTAATAATAAGGCACAATGATGGTATCAGTCACTGTGGCAATGGAGAGCTTGCTGGTTCTTCACGTTTAATAGCTTTAGAACCGGCATCTGCAAACTTAGGCCCTCCAGGTGTTTTGGACTTCAACTTCCACAATTTCTAACAGCCTGTAGGCTGTTAGGAATTCTGGAAGATGAAGCCCAAAACACCTGGAGGGCCCAAGTTTGCTCATGCATGTTTTAGAGACACTGTCTGAGATCAGTGCAAATTAATGAAAAATTAATATGAAATATACTTTGATTGGCAAGAGGATGTGACCCTTAAGATGTTGCTGACCTGTGAGTCTCACACGAGATCTGCACATCTAATTGTTGGAGAACCTGTCTGGAGATTTTTACCAGATGTGGCAAATATTTGTCTATTGTAAGTGAATATGATCACTGTTGGCAGGTGGCAATTTTCTTCTTTTGCTAATGATTTTTGAAAACAACAATGTGGTTATTTTTATGGCCCCTTTTGAATGTTGACATTTCTTGTGGCATCCTAACTCTTTTAAAGCATTAGTATCCTATACAACAGTGGTTCTCAACCTGTGGGTCCTCAGGTGCTTTGGCCTACAACTCCCAGAAATCCCAGCCAGTTTACCAGCTGTTAGGATTTCTGGGAGTTGGATGCCAAAACACTTGGGGACCTACAGGTTGAGAACCACTGTATACAGGCTAGTGCCTATTTCAACAACTGCAGTACTCTTTCCAGCAGAAAATTATGTGAGGGGGTTAGGAATCACTATCTATGTCCTTACTGGAGCAATTTATACATTTCCATGACATATTTTTATTCTTAAATGCAAACTGGAATACAAAATGAAAGTAAACTGTCTTGTCCTTGTTATTATAAGAAAGTGCTTTGGGCAAGCATGCCCCTCTAATTGTCCTGCATCACATGAAAAAATGTTACAAATAATATTTATTTTATTTTATTATTAAATGACCTGTAACATAAAGGTGGTGACCTATGCTGGTTCCCCTTCCCTTTTACCATAGAGCCCCACCAGAAGTAACTGTGCATCGTGGGATGGCAGCCAGTGAGCTCTGTGGCAAAGGGGAAGGGGAAGCCGCATACGCCACCAAATTCCACCCTATCTGATGAGGTTGCAGGGCACATTTACACTGACCACTTAGATTGGTATGCAGAGCAATTGGTCTCACTGTGGGGGCTAGATGCTACATAGGAGTGATACGGATTAACCTGAGGGAATCCACTTCAGTTGGTGTTGAATCTTGATGGGGGATTTGGGTTGTCTCCATGAGGTAGGGATGCCAGGCTGAGTCTGCATTACCAGTCTGTGTAGAAGGGCCCTATGATGAATTGAGCTGCTTTCTAAATTGCTAAAGTAAAGGTAAGGTTTCCCCCTGACATTAAGTCCAGTCATGTCTGACTCTGGGGGTCGGTGCTCATCTTCATTTCTAAGCCAAAGAGCCAGCATTGTCCGCAGACACCTCCAAGGTCATGTGGCCAGCACGACTTAATGGAGTGCTGTTACCTTCCTGCTGGAAACTCTTAATGTACTCATATTCACATGTTTTCGAGCTGCTAGGTTGGCAGAAGATGATGCTAACAGCGGGAGCTCATGCCACTCCCCGATTCGAACCTGCGACCTTTCGGTCAGCAAGTTCAGCAGCTCAGCGGTTTAACCCACTGCGCCACCAGGGGCTCCTAAATTGCTAAAGTGGAGTATATACTGAATGTTGTGGTGAGCATGTTCTAAAATGACTTTTTAGAAGGTGCACAGATCAAGTGTATGCAATTTCCTAGCATTAAGCACACATATTCTTTTGTACAAGTGAAGAAGTGAAAACAAACCACCTATGGTATCACTATCCACTTATTTCTGGCCAGCTACCATCAGATGATTGCATTAAATTGCTTCAGCCATCAGATGGGCAGTTTCATTTGTTTAATAATTTTCAGTAAGACTATTTTCTTATCTCCTTTTCTTTTGAATTAGGTGGCTGAATGTCCAGAATTAGTGTGTAAAAAGGCATTCTAAATGGGTTGCTGTCAGACACAGAGACTTCCTATCTTCTAGTGTAATAAGAAACATACATCCTTTTCATCTTCCAATATTTCCTGTATTTAAATTGTGGAAAATATATAGTAAACAGTGTGCAGCATGGTGAAAATAGTTGTTCGCCCCATCCATCCCTGGCAGCTATTTCCCTAGAATATCAGATCGCTTTTTGTGTAAGTCAGACTGACAGGGAGATGTATTTGAGGGATTCAAAATTGCTCAGATGTCATTTTAGAGTGTGGTTTAGCATTATACAAATGAATCCCACCATTTCCTGGCTTCACACACTTCTCCTTCTCTCTTCCCATGCAGCCATAAAAGGAATGTGGAAGCTTTAATTGTCATTTTCCCACCAGATTGACTTGTTGCATAGAAATCCCAAATTAGACTTAGGAAGCTAGTGTGTAGAATATAATTTACAATTTCTGATTTTGATGAAGGGACAAAGTGAGTTTAAGGGAACATATAAGGAAACGCATTCTCTTGGCTGCAAAGAAATACTATGAGGGAGAGGTACAAGTTCTGGAGAAGGCTTGTTCAGTTAGGACTAACAGGAAACACATCTACACTGAACACTTAGTCTGAAGGGCCACCGAATCATCTCCATAGTGGCTAAATGGTGCATGGAGCTGATCTAAGTTAACAGGGGCCAAACCTGCTTAACATTTGAACCACATTAAGCATAGCCACAGGTTGCACCAAATTCTCACTATATTCTGCAGACAATCATGACTTTGGGTCCATGAAAGCAATTGGGTTCGTTCTGAGAAAAAATCAGCCACAATTGTTTACATGGCCATCCTGTGTTCCCTAACCTCAAGGACATGGGCTGGCCCTCACTATCTCCTCCTTTTTTTCCTTGTTGTGTTGGCCAGTGGGCCCATCATGCATTGTTGGTCACTCATTGCTTGGTGTGACACTAGTTGGAGCAACAAGACAACTGGAAGAGGGAACAGGGAGAGGAGGGGGGCAATTCCTTCTTCTTCCCTTGTTGCTCTGGGACCTTGACTGACATCACTTCAGGTGACAAGTGACTGACAGGACTCATATGGCACATCACTGGCCTCCACAACAAGAAGAACACAAAAGTGAGGGTGGCAGTCTGGCACTGCCAAAAAGCTTAGCACCGCTAGATAGTCAAGACTTCCTCCTGCCTCTACCTTGGTCAGGGAAATGGAGGTCTAAGCCATCCCTTAGCCAATCTGGCATTCACCATGCTGAATCAGCCCTGGGATAAGTGCTCAGTGTATAACCACCCATGGTGCTAACTTTAGTATGCTCTGCTATCCAGATGCTGCTAATTAGTGCTTCAAGGCCATTTGGAGAACACAAGCTACGCAAAAATATCACTTCACATTACAAGAGATTATAGAGGTGAATTCAAAGATAGTTTTTGAAGAATCAAGGAAACAACAGAAATGAAAATCTAGCACCAAGATGTACATGAAAATGTTTTCAAAATCATTCACAAATGAAGGCTTGTTTTAAAAAAATCTCCCTGGGTTTTAAGGCGTTAAAAGCAGCAGAGAACTTCTTCAAAATGATTTTTCAAGGAGACTTCATTGTAGAGCTGCAGAGAGCTCAGTTGAATCCTTAAGGACTAATCAAGCTACTTTGCTCTTTGAAATTTGATATAGTTTTTGAAAATTAAATGTTCTAAGTTTGTGATATTATCTCATGCTCATTATTATTGGTAGATAAAATCCTGTACTTTATATATTAGGAATGGGCCATTACTAATGCAACATGAGGTTTTGCTAGTTCAACAGATTATTCTGTTGTTATTTCATTAGTTCTGATTTTTTAAATTAATAAGCATGAAGTGCCTCTGATAGCACTTGAAGATTTTACTCTTTGATTCCACATTAATTAATCGACAGTAAATACT